CCGACACAGTCTCACCCTGTCCCTGTCTGTCTCCATTCCCCTTTGCAGTCCATCGAATCTATTTCACTATCCATTTTTTTAAATTATTTTTTTAAAATCTCTTTCCCAGCTCCTCACTTAAGTGGAGTCACCATCTATCTCTGTGCCCATCTAGCAGGAATCTCGTGGTCCTTCTCACTACTGTTTGCTCAGTGCAAACATGACATTTTCACACTAAGCTCTTAACAAACACATTGGTTTCTTTATCCTCAAGAAAGAGTAATATAGACAGAAGATAAAGCATGCTCCATTAATCAAAGAAAAAAAAAAGAATTTTTAGCAAACATAAAATATACAATAAACTTTACTAATAAGTTATCCAGAAATATCTGGAGTTAAATGACCTAAAATTACTATGAGAGGATTTAAAGTGAGGCATTAAATCCTACTTGCTGTAATCTTCATCAATCTTCTCCAGACAATACGTCAAAGCAACAAAATCTGATTAGAAGCAGACTCATGAACTCTCTTCTTTTCTACATAAATTATCTCCAAGAGCACAGTATGTGATAACTTTTTGAACAGACTGCTGCTAAAACTCACAAGTGACTTTACAGCACAGAGCAGTGCAGTAAAGAGTATGACAATTCACACATCTACTTAAAAGACAATATTGATGTATTTAAAACAGTAATATAAACTACCTCTGACAGTATTTTGACTCTGTTTTTTTTTTTTTTTTTAGTGCTAAAGGCACAAAATGCTGATTCTGAAACTTTCAAAAACAAAGGTGAAGAGGTAAGCATTATGGCAAATCCATGCGCTTATTTTAACACAGAAGAATTATCTTATCCTCCAATACAAGGTTTATCACACACTCCATACCAAACACAAATTCACATCAAAAAATATGACTGCTAGTGTATAATAAACATACTGAAAAAATATGTTCACTGGAAAATATAATCTTCCTTCTTGAAGCAATCCTTTGCCACTAAAAAAATTTCTTCTGCATCGTGTTTTTTTCAACCTATGGAGCCAATAACTACTCCAGCAATTCTGCATGCTTTCTGACTTGTTTACCAGAAATGTAATTTCAAAATCACCCTGCAATTGCAGAAATAAATTTAAGCTCTCCCTGGAGTTTCAGGAACGATGATTCTCTTGTAAAATTAAATTCAAATAAACCTCATTCAACCACTAAGCAGGCAGGCAAATTAGGAAAAAATGGTAGGAAGGAGATAAAACCATATTTTAAATCTTTGTACTCTTATCAGAGAAGAAAACCTTAAAATTAGAAAAAGAAATTTATCAGAAACAGGGCATTTTTCCACAAGTAACTGTGAATAGAGCATGATACTTCTCGCGTGTGTATGTATGATGCCTGCAACTTCATGGGAAGTGGAAGAGATTTTACCTGCAGGAAAAAAAAATATGATGCTCCCACAAAGCAGCACGGACAGTGGTGTTCTTGCAAAGTCTTCACAGAGCCATGAGCCGATGAAGTGCAGGTTGCAGGAAAGCACCGCGACCCTCTGCACTGAGCAGCAGCAGTTTGAGACTGAAGAGTCGCATGCTTCCAGTTACTGTTTGCATGTTATGGACAGCAGAGGTTTCACAAAGTACCATACAAAAGTCACAGCACAACCAGACCAAGCAGAGAGATTATTTCAGGGTCTTATCAGTCAGGAACCTAAAACGGTGAGCTGAGAAGGCACTGGATGCAATAATGACCTCTCTAAATTTTGATCTACAAAAGCTTCCAAAGAAAAAATACAGACCTAGAACTACATATTGTAAAGCAAAGCAAAGCAAAACAAAACAAACTAGTCCATGCAGGCAGTTTCTTTTATTTGGAAAGAATGAGGTATTTGAAAAGCACGCTGAAAATCGACTCCATCTCTAGATCCTACAGTAGTTCCACTCACTGGTTTTACCAGCTTTTCACCTCCTGCAATTGCTTTTTATTCACCATATTTCATTCACTGTACTTCCTGGACCAGTGCAGATAGAAGTTTAAGAGTCTGCCTTCCTGCAAGCCTGACTCACCACATCACCCACAGCAGCAGACCACAGGCCCCCATCTCCACTTTGTGAAATGAACCATCCTCACTATTCCTGTTTTCATCCCTCAGTATAGCAGGAAAAGGCAGTTCTGTGTGAGAGATGCTTGGATTGCAACCTTGGGCATCAATTTAAAACAAAATGCAAGAATCCTTTGCAAAAATCAGAATGCAAGGAAAGAGTAAAGTTAAAGTTTTCATTCTCTAAGAAAGGTCCTCAGCGAGGGATGTAGAAAAGCCACACGATAAGACTAGCAATGAAATTAGCCTTTAAAAAGTTAAGTGCTAATTGAGAAATAATTAACCAAAATTAGCTGTTGTGAAAATTATTCAAGCAAAGCTCTAGGCATTTGTTTATATAGAGGCTGTAGCACCTCCCCTGCAGCTGAAGGGACTGGTATCAACTCCATTAGAAAGCTGCTTCACTCATAACTCTGTTGAACATGACTCCTGATTCAGCAAGCAAACTGAATGTTAATGCTCCCAGGATCTTTCCACCAGCATCTTTATCTTCCTGTTCTAACTTTCTTCCTGACAAGCCGGACAAATCTGATTCTACCATTCCACCAACTAGATCAAAAGAACATAGTTGGCCACAGAATTGGTCACAGAACTTAGTCGCCAAATTACTCAGCCTTTGCATTATATAGAACTCTGTGGTTAGATTCTTTGAAGACACCAAAGGAGAAGAGGACTTGTCTCTCTCTGATAGCCATAGTACATGAGCAAGAATAACACCTTGCAACCTGAGCCCAAGAGTAGAAAAATGCTCCTCACATAAGAGACAAATGTCTGCAATTTTCTGCTACGGTCCAGGAAAATGAACCTGAATGAAAAAGAAAATTTAATTCCTGTTCAAAACCTGCCTAGTTAAAAGCAATGTTGATTTCGTGGCGAAACAGTGGATTTTCCATACACTTCCAATACTTACATCAAATTCGTTGAGGGCAGCAGCAAGTTCTCCTATGCCCGTGTGGCCCTTGTTCTCGTCGGTGGGCGACGTGGCCTGGGCGGCGTTGGAGATGCCGGCGATGGCTTCTTGCACCTGCTTGAAGACGTAGTCTCTGTTGGCTCTCGTGGCGGCCACGTCGGGGTGGCGCAGGAAGGCCTGCGAGGCCGTGTACAACATGGTGGCGTTCTTCTTCAGGGCCCCTCGCGCCGCAGCCATTTCATCCCTGCAGTGAGGGTCTTTCA